CAGCTCCTCTGCAGTGCTCTGCCTCCAGCCCGGCCCCACACCCGCAGCCAGGAGCCCAGCCGCCATCTCCGATTGCATTTCCAGAACGCCTTCCCACACGGCGAGCAGCGCTGAGCAGGAAGGCACGGACAAGGAAAGAGGGGGGCCTCCCTTCAGGGGCTGTGCACAGGCCTGGGGCTGCCATGCATCTCTGCTCTGACCCTGGCCCTCACCCCACCCCTGACCCTTTCCCCGTCTCTGTCCCCAGCCCTGCCCCATCCCCACCCACCCTACACTGGGACAGTGTGTAGTGTTGCCCTGCACACACCAAACCCAAATCTCCCCTGACCTACATCTTCCTCCTCATCTCCCACTCACTCCTTCTGCCCGTACTTCCCCCTAATCCTACCCTGAGCTGTCCCCAAGCCCCCTGACCTATGCCATCCTACACTTGTCCCAGCTCCATATGCCTTCTCTATTCCACACCTGGCCCTTGCTCTCACCCAATTCCTCCTTCCTGCCACACTCCTACCCCATCTGCTGCACTCACTCCCCAAGCCTGACTCCAGCACTCCCACTCCACACCATCAGTCACCAGCATGCACACACACACACCCACCCCCACAGCCCACCCTCCCCAGCCCACACTCACACCCCCCATGCCCCTGCAGTGTACCCACAGTGCACCCATTCTTTCTTGCCACCTCCAGGGTGACCTAGGGACCCTTTTTCTTGGCTAAGTCACAGCACCTCCTCCAGCCTTGTCTTATGGACCCAAGAATTTATGTTCTTCCTGTCTCCTTGGGCCCCTCTCACCAACCTGGCAGCAGAGCTTCTCATGGTCCCAGCCAGACATCCTCATGCCCTACACCTCCAGCAAAGAAGTGCCCCCAGTGCCACTGGTGCTTGTCCCAGTGGACAGCCTGGATGCTGCCATGGTTGGCAGTGCCTCACTGCACCCCCACACCTGCCCTCACCCCAACTCAGGCAGGTGGCATCACCTGTCCTAGGAACCAGGACTCCAGGACCTGAGCTGCAGCAGAAACACCAAACACAGGGCACACAGACCACACAGAATCCCAATGGCATCACTAACTCATCACAGAGCTTTTGGAGGGCCAGCAGCTCTCCAGCCTCAGCTGCGACCTCTTGCCACATAAAGGCTGGTGCAGCAGCACGTGTCTCAGCTCATTAGTTCATTACCATAATTAATGCTAATGCTCACAACCAGCCTTACCAACACTGATGAACTTGGGCTAACGACCTCACAGGAGGAGAGGGAAGGTCGAAGCCTGGCTAGAGGCAGTTTCCCAGAGGCAGTATCACATTCCTTAGCCCTGTTTTGAGTGTCCTGGCTGCAAGATAGCTCCACACTGACGCAAGCAAAGCCTGGCACAGCAGGACCCACCTCAACAGAGGCTCACACCATGCTCTGCAGGATGGGCAGCCTTGTGGCGTGCCCAATGGCAGTGGCATTGCCCACTGCTTGCACACAGAAAGGATGTACACGACTTGACCCCATTCCGGACTCACACCAAGGGCGGGGATCTCTGCTCCGGCATTCCTGCTGCAAACACTGCCCACCAAAGCCATGACACCTGCACCAAAAACCCTGCAGTGTCAGGTCTCCCACCCCAGCCCTGGCTGTGCCCCTGCCGAGCTCCGGCCTCAATACCTGTACCTACCTGCAAGAAGCAGGTCCCAACAGGGGTGTTCTCCTTCAGGGACACGTTGTAGAAGTTACTCCTGAACACTGGCTCATTGTCATTGACATCCTGCAAGGCCACGTGCACCACAGCTGAGGAAGAGAGGGCAGGAGTTCCCCGGTCTGTGGCCAGCACAGTGAGCCTAGGCTGAGGATCCTTTTCATAATCCAGTGGGGCAGCAGTGGTGATGATGCCAGTGGCAGGGTCAATGGTAAACCAGCTGGAGTGGGTGTCGCGGCCATGCAGAATGCTGTAGCGCACCTCCCCATTGGGACCTTGGTCCTTGTCACGAGCTGTCACCTGCAGGACAAAACTGCCTGGGTACACCACCTCAGGGATGCTCTGCTTGTACTCCTGCTGGTCAAAGAGCGGGGGATTGTCATTAACATCCATCACCTGCAGCACAAAGGCTGATTCTGCCCGGAGCGGGGGTGTTCCTGAGTCAGTAGCTGTCACCCGCAGATCATAGGAGTCTCTTTCTTCCCGATCCAGAAGTTGGTCCACACAGATCAGATAGATTATGTTGTCCTTGGTAGTGAGGGCAAACTTGCCATCTCCTCCCTCCAGTGTGACATTGACATTGGAATACTCTCCATAGTCAGGATCGGAAACAGAAATGCGTGCCACATACTGTCCGGGCTGGGCTCCCTCGGAGATCTGTGGGGAGCCATCCTCACTCAGAAAGATGATGGTCATGGTGGGCTGGTTGTCATTGTAGTCACGCACATGGATAGTGACAAAGGCTGTGGTGACCTCAGGATGGACAGCCTTATCCCTTGCCTGCACCACCAGCTCATGAACCTTCCTCACTTCATAGTCCAGACCCTTGTTGAGCTTGATGACTCCAGTCCGGGCATCAATGGTGAAGTACTGGTCAGGATCGCTCTGCCGTCGGTTGATCTCGTAAATCACATCCCCATTGTCACCTTCATCTGCGTCAGAGGCAAAGACCTGCAGGATGCTGCTGCCAGGTTTCAGATTCTCTGAAATGAGCGTATGATAGCGGCTCTGGTTGAAGCTGGGGGCATTGTCGTTGATGTCCTGAATGGACACATCCAGTGTCATCTGGGTGCTCCGGGGCGGAGAACCCCCATCGTAGGCTTCCAGCAGCAGTGAGTACGATGAACGGTTCTCCCGATCCAGAACGTTGCTGACCACCAGGTCCAAATACAGGACCCCATTGGGCCCTCGACGCGTTTCCAGGCGGAAGGCCTGCCCCACATTCCCTCCCTTAATCATGTAGCCTTGTGTGTTCAGGAGGCCACTGTCAGCATCAAAGGCCGGGTCCAAGGGAAACCTGCTGCCAATGGGGGTGTGCTCTGGGATCTGAAAGGTGCTGTGCTGTTTGGGAAACGCTGGGGCATGGTCATTGATGTCATTCACTTGGATGTTCACTTCTACCGTGATGCCCTCTGGGGTGACAGCAATGAAGCTGTAGCGGTCCCGAGTCTCCCGGTCCAGGACACGAGCTGTTTTGATGATCCCTGTATTCTCATCTATCCCCAAGTCAGTGGAGACGCCACTGCCCTCCTGTGCTGAGATGAAATACATGTAGGCACTTGTTTCAGGGGGTAGGCCAGCACTGATGTCCCCAATGATAGTGCCAGCCGGCTGCTCCTCATCTATTTGTAGATCCAGGGTGCCCAGGACAGCAGAGCCCATCCCTGCTCTCAGGCCCCCAAGAATAAGCAGCTCCAGCAGAAGCATTGTTGACCTCTTCATTTGCTCCATGGCTGGCAACTAGCAGAGCAGAGGGTGGCTTGATCTCCTTTGCAGAGTTCGCTTTAATCCTGCCTGGAATGCAGACCAGAGGACACTGGTTAAGAGGGAGCAAAGGAAGGACAGAAAACAGCCTGGAGAGGGAAGGCCTGCCAGGTACCTGCTGCCTGATCACTATGTAACGCCTGTCCCTCACAAGAAGCAAATGTGACAATATGTGTCAGAGCCTGCCCAGAACAAAAGCCTGGGACAGCACCTGGAAGCAGCTCACACCTGAGAGTGCACCGAGGGGAGCAGCTAGGACCCTGTCACAGAGGTGCTTCCTACATCCTCAAGAGCTCTTTCCAACCACTGCCCACCTGGCATTACTGGCATCAGCTGCCCCAGAGCAGCATGCTCCTGTGTCTTTAACAGCTGAATGCTTCCTGTGAGGTTCAGAGCCTGTCTGCAAGAGGACAGAGGTTTTTGGGCAAACAGCAGCCTTGCATCTCTCCACCCTGAAAAAAGCTGGTCTCAAATTACGAGATAGCTCAGCCAGTCACTGGTTGAGACCCTAGCCCCCACCCCCCTCTCTCCCCAGCAGTGCGCCTTTCAGGACCTCAGGGACATAGGTGCCAAAAACCCATGAAGTGCAAGTCTGGTGTCCCTGGGAAGGAGCACAAACTGGAGTGGGCTTCCATCCAGTGAACAATAAATCAAAAAGGATGTATTGCAAAGGATGTGCCCACAGCTGGGAATGCCCGGGATAGAATCAGACCGTGCTCATTGTTTGGGCTGGCACGGAGATCTGTGGTGCCCCAAGCCGGTACCATGGAGGGCGGTGGCAGTGCCGTAGGAACGCAGCGACTCCCTCGGAGCTGCCAGCTGCTCCGTCCCACACCCTCCGCCGCTCACTCCCCTCCTTTGTCTCCTTCTCGCTGCTCCTTGCTGGCTCCGGCTCCTTCCCTCCCTTTCCCCGTAACTGCATTTCATTGCAGCAGTGGGGGAGGGCGGCAGCCAGCCGCAGCTCCTGCAGCGCTGCAGCCGGACACGGCGGAGCCGCCGGACTGCCGCGCTGTGCCCGCGGGCTGCCAGCCCTGCCCTGCCCTGCCCTGCCCTCCCGACAACCGCCGGGGAACAGCGGCCACCGAGCTGCTGAGCAGCACCGACCCCAACACCCGCTCGGCCCCAGCGAACGAGGCTTCGTGGTCTGCGGGGATGGCGGCAGCATGAGCTCACACTTGGACTCTCTTGAAAGCGTTTGCTGCTGGGCCCATAACCACACTCAGGAGCTGCTCGTGTCAGATGCGGGAGCAAGAACCTCCCTGTCTTGGGGGATGGAGTGGCTGGCAATGCCTAGTTTGGGGACTAAGAATATCAGCCCTTGACCAAAGAACTCCATGGCGGTGTTAACCCTTTCCACGGCACATGTGATGGTATTCTTGCGTCCCCTTTCCCATCTCGGATCAGCTGTCTAGATTTTTTTTTTTCCCTGTGTAAATCCTGGGTTAGTGACAGAAACAAAATAATTTAAAAGTATTTTCTACTCATAAAGAAATGTTTACTTCAGTGGACATCCAGTCTGAGGCCTATCCACACAGTCTGAGGTAAATCCACATGCTCTTCTTGCACCCAGCAGGTGAGAACCTTCACAATGTCCTAGGACTTGAAGTCAAAATAAAATACTTTTGCATGCTGTGATTTGGGAATCTGCACGAACTCAGTGGTCCTAGACAGGTCTGCCTCTCTGTTGGAGCTAGTTTTAATTCCCCAGATGGAGGGGTAACTGCCTACCCTCAGAACATGCAGTGCTGGAGGAATGGGGTTTGAGGTAGCTTCTGTGATGAGATTGCACCATTCCAATGGTGCTTCAGATGCTCAGGTCATGGAAAGGGCCCGGGCAGAGAGTTTAAAGCCTTGGTAGGAGCTTAGACCGGAAAACAAAACAAAACAAAACAAAACAAAACAAAAAACCAAAAAAACAAACAAAAACAAAACAAAAAAAAAATTGTAGAAAAAAGCAAGTAGAGGGCCAAAATTCCCTGGGGCAACCTAAGCTAGGTTTGGACTAAGGACAGGATAGAGCTAACAGTTCTTGGGTAGTGTCTGGAAGAAATCAGGGCAGAGACATGGGGAAAAGCCCACCTGGTTCCATTACTAATGTTGCCTTGAGAAGCCAGTGAGGCTTTATGGACTGCTGGAGGGGAGAAGAGAGATTTGGGGAGCGTGAAGAGCAGCTGAGAGCACTAGCACAAGCAGGGAACAAAAATTAGGGTCCCTGGGCTGGAAAACTGGTGATGAAAGCCTGTATAAGCTTCTTCAGTTCCATCCTCCCTGGATGCAACTGAGTAGTTTCACAGCAAGCCTATCTTTCAGCAAAAGGTGGAACTGAACATTACTAGACTGCACCAGTCAGAGGTATCAGCCATCCTTGGTACCAGCAGACCCCTGTTACAATGAGGTCTGCAGGTTTGGGTCAGAGGGAAACAGCAGTGACCTCAGTGGGTGCAGAGTCACAAAATCTGAACAGCTGCTTTCAGTTAGCAGAGAGCTCAGTGCAGGGCTGGCTTGGCCGGGCTGTGTAATGTGAGCCACACTGCCCCGCTCCCTCTCTGTCCCTCCCACCGCCGGGCACCCTTGTGAAGGAAGAACGGCAGCAGGAGTCTCTGAAGAAAACTGCCAGGATGAGATTCTCTTCACATAGGTCTTTGAGGTCCAGAGCCATGGTGAGGAGGTTGAGAGGAAGGGCAGCTAAAATGGAGCGAGCTGCAACATCCATCTAAGCCTAGAGCTGGCAGGCTGGGGCACCAGGAGAGCCCAGCCTACATGTAGCAGTTGTGTGATATTTTGAAAGAAAAAAGATATGGAATTACATTGGGACCACTGTGTGCACCCTTGCCAGCGGCAGCTTGCGCCTTCTGTCAGCCACGAGAAAGGGGAAGTGGGCTCCCAGCAGCCCCAGCAGAGGAGCTGGAAAGACGGCACCCACTGTGCATGCCACAAACAGATGTCAGAGTGCTTGCTGTGCAAAGGCTCCATGAAAGCTGCAGATGCTGCTGATGCCATACCCTAGGTCTGACATGAGAGGCCATGGCTCGTGTAGTGATGTTTTTGAGACTCCAGTCCAGAAGAGGAAGCCTGTTTAATCTTTGCTGAGCACTGACCTGGAATATGCTTTCCTCTTGTATATTCACAGAGATTCTCTAGTTTCAGATGATCTGCCCTCGAAACCATGCACAGCCCCGACTTGCCTGCAGTGCAGCCTTGGGCTAACAACTCACTTCCAGCCTCTACTCAGCCTACCACTACCTACAGCCACCTCCGTGCCTCCCGGCTCTCCTCCCATCTCCCAGCCCGGCCACACATCCTCATGACCCTCTGACACGGCCCCGAGCAGGCAGAGCGGCGGTGGCACTCCTTTCCTGCGGGTGCAGTCAAGTCCCTACTGCATCCTTGTGAATCCCATTTTTTGTGCCACACTGGGGCTCCCCGCGGGCTCTCCTGTCTCTCAGCACGCATCCCTCACAAAGGAAAGTCTAATGAAATATTTCCGCGCCGGAGCCAATACCCACAGTCTCTGTCTCGGGACATCCCCGCTGCATCGGCCCCGGCCAGACTGTGCCCGCCGCCAAGGCGCTGCGGGGCCTCGCCTGCTCCCTGTACGCTGGAGCCCCCGGCTCTTGGGGCTCGCTCTCCCCCGAGCTCCGGCCTCCCGGGGCTCCCCAGCTGCCGGGCCCAGCGGCCGCTGCCGCTCCCTGTCCCCGTCCCCGGCGCTCCCGGACGTCCCGCACCGGGCGGCCTCGGTGCCGGCGTTCTGCCAGCCCCGCTCCCCGCTCCGCCCGGGCTCGCAGCCCCCGCCCGGCGCCTCCACGGTTCCGCTGAGCGCCCTCCCCTCGGCGGCTCTGCCCTGCAGCGGCACCGTGAGCGCCCGGTCCCGTGCCGTGCCGTGCCGTGCCGTGCCGTGCCGTGCCGTGCCGTGCCGTGCCGTCACGTCCCGTCCCGTCCCGTCCCGTCCCGCCCGGCAGCCGGAGCGCCGGGGCCGCCAGCGAGCCCGGTCCGGCCGCGGCTCCGCGGTGTTGCGCCGCCTCGGGCGCGTCCCCCCGTTCTCTCCCGCCCCCCCGCCCCCAGCTCCATTGTCTCCGCGGCGGAGGCAGAACAAAGCGCCTGGTCCCGGTCCCGGTCCGGTCCCACCGTGCGACGATGCCACCGTGCGGGGCTCCGGCAGGGGCCGAGCCCCGGCGCTAGGACTTACACTGCGCGTCCCGTGCCGGCGGCGTTCACATCCCGCAGGGTCCGGCCCCGCCACGACGTCCCGCAGCCTCCCCGCTGCTCCGGCGCCAAGGTCTCTCCAGCACCGCCGGCCGCTCCAGTGCCCCGAGCGCTCCGGCGCTCCCCCGGTGCCGCGGCCGCCCCGGTGCGGCTGTGGCCCCGCGGAGCGCTCGGCGGCGGGTCGGCGCTGGCTCGGAGCTGGCTCGGCGCGAAGGCTCCTGCTGAAACCCGACCCAGCGCCGCCCTCAGCCCCCCGCTCCCTCCGCCGCCCCCCTCCCCGCCCCGCACCGGAGCGCGCCGGCGGAGCGCGGCCTCGAGGCGGCCCCGGACGGGCGAGCGGGGGTGCGGGCGGTGCGCCGGTATGGCCGGGCTCCAAGGGGCCGGGGAGCAGGATCGGCACGGAGAAGGAGAAAGGGCTGGACCCGGGGTACAGAAGGATGGAAGGAAGCGGTGGGTGCCGGGAGCCCAGGAAAATGGGAAGGGGTTGGCAGGAGCCGGAGCAGGAGTGGGACGGGACCGGGCAGGGAGAGGGCTGGGCAGGGGATGAAATGAGGCTGTGGGCAACGCTGGGGGCATGTGGGGACGTGATCACAGACCATTCTTTCCTCTCTACCGCAGTTGCTTCTTCATCACATAACCCAGAGCTCAAGTACCTGTGACCTCCCAACACCTTGACTCACATCAGGGCTCCTAAGGTCCAGCCTGGTCCAGGCTCACTCAAAGCGCCTGTGCTACAAGGGACTGGGGCTCCACCAGTCTATGCCAGGGAAAAAAACAAGACTGATGACTGTCCAGGCATCACCACCAGCAGTTGGCACCTCAGCTTGGCTTGGCCACTCAGGCAGCTTTTCCCTGCTCCAGACAGGTCTCAGCAGTCTGTGTGTCTGTTGGAGCCATGCAGCCTCTAGGGCCAGCAACCACTGCTGGACCTTCTTTGATTTCTTAGTGGAGAAACTGCTGTTGACTAGGGTCTGTTGCTAAGATCATCTGCTGAAGGCCATGGCTCAGTGTGCTCTGAGATGGTCAGATGGTCCTTGCAATCTTGTGCCTGTTCCAGTTCCAACAACTTCAGCCTTGACTTAGCTATCACGCCTCTTATTTCTCTGACAGACCTTTAATGACATTTTGTGTAGAGTACAACAGTTCTCAATCCCCATGTGTAAGAAATTAGTCAAGGAAGGTGAGAGACTGGCACAGCCGAGTCAGGACCTGCTGGTCAAACTAAACAGCAAGATGGAAACACACAGGCAGTGGAAACAGGAACAGATATCCCAAAAGGAGCATAGGGACCTTGCCCAGCTGTGTAGGGAAATTGTGAGGAAGGCTGAGGCACAAGTGGAGCTGACCTTGGTGAGAAATACAAAGAATTATAAAAAGAGTTTCTACAGGAATGTCAGCCAGAAAAGAAACATCAAAGACAGTGTACCCTGCTGATAAACCTGACTGGCAAACTGGTAACAAGGGACAGGGAGCATGCTGATGGGTTCAGCCACACTGGACAGGATCTTTGATCTGCTGGAGCATAGGCTCTGCAGAGGGGTCTGGACAGGCTGGATTGATGGGCTGATCAGCTGATGTATGACGTTCAACAAGGCCAAGTGCTGGGTCCTGGACTTGAATCACCACAATCTCAGGCAGCACTCCAGGCTGGGAACAGAGTGGCTGGGAAGCTGGAAAAGGAGCTGGGGGTGCTGGTTGACAGTGGCTAAACATGAGACAGTATGTGCCCAGGTGGGCAAGAAGGCTAAGGGCACCTGGCTTCTGTCAGCAATAGTGTAGCCAGCAGGACCGGGGCAATAATTCCTCCCCTCTACTCCACTCTGGAAAGGCTCCACCTGGAGCACTGCTCCCAGCTCTGGAGTCCTCAGTACAGGAAAGACACAGACCTGTTGGACTGATCCAGAGAAGAGCCCCAAACATGATCAGAGATCTGGAGAACCTCTCCTGTGATAACATGTTGGAAGAGTTGGGGTTCTTAATCCTGGAGAGAGTGGGCTCTGGGGAGATCTTAGAGCCCATTGCAGAACTTAAAGGGACATTATGACAAAGATGGGGACAGGCTTTTTAGCAGGGCCTCTGATGACAGGACATGATGGTTTCTAAAAAAACCTCTAGATTCAGACTAGGTATAAGGAAGAAATGTTTATGGTGAGGGTGGGGAAACATTCAAGGTCAAGTTGAATGGGGCTCTGAGTCACCTGATGCAATAGAAGATGTCCTTGCTCATTGCAGGGGGGTTGGAGTAGGTGACCCTTAAACGTTCCTCCAATCCATCCCGTGCTATGATTCTATTATTCAAACATTACACTCATCTTTAAGAAAGGGAATAAGGAACTCAGAGAACCACCAGTTTGTGAAGGTCATCACCACACCTGGAAAACTCAGGGACTGCATGATGTCTCAGAATCCATTTCTGACCATATGGAGAACAAAGAGGCAATCAGGAATAGTCAGCACAGATCATGCCTGAGCAGCCCAATTAGCTTCTCTGACAAAATGATTGGCTGTATGGATAAAGGGAAAGCAGTAGATGCAAAGTGCCTTGACAGCATTGGCAGCTGCTCCCACTGAGTTTTAGTTTACAACCTGAGGACATATGGTCTGAGTGACTGGAACACTGGGTGGGCTGAACACTGGTTGCACCTCTGGGCTGTAAGGGTAGTGATCAGTGACTCAATACAGAGATGGTGCCTAGCAGCCAACAAAATATACGAAGCACTGATTTAGGAGCCAGTATAGTTCAGTCTTTCTTGATACTCTGTGATGACAATGGAGTACAAGACTCCAGGCGATGACACTAGGAGGGGTCACTGATATGTGGCTTTTTAGTCCAAAGAGGTATCTAGAAACTCACAGAAAGAAATTAGCAGAAACCTCATGAAGTTCAGTAAGGAGAAGTACAAAGTTCAGCATCTGAGTCAGAATAACCCCAAAATTGCTACAGGTTGGGAACCATCTGACTAAGTCTCAGTTCTGCTGAAAGGAAGATGAGAGTAGGGATGAGCATGGAATTAAGAGTCAGTAGGATGCCCTCATTGCAAATCAGGCAAAAAAATTCTCCACTGCATTAGGAGAATGGTCAGCAGCAGACTGAGGGAAACAATCATCCCCCTTCAACTGGGATATTGTGAAGCCACAGCTGCAATCCTCTGTACATTTTTGTCTCTCCCTGTTCATGAGGGATATTGAAAAGCTGTAGGAGGTAGGTAGTGGTCTGGGACATCCGATCAGTTTATAACAAGACACTGAAGAAGCTGGGCTCTCTTGGTCTGGTGATGCTTGAGCAGTGGGGCTGTTTAACAGCATCCTGCTGCTGCCTCAAGGACAGCTTACAAAGATGATGGAAGCAAAAGCAGACAGTAGCACAATAACAATGACCACACTTACACCTTGAGACATTCAGAATGAAGATTAGAGACTGGGTTTTTTTTCGCTGGGAGCGTAGTGTAGCACTGGAAAAAGCTACTCATAGAGTAGTGAATCTCATCCCCTTGCAAGTTTCCAAGGCTGATCTGATCCATTATTGCTGATTGTCTTCACATGAGAGGTTGGGTTATGCAATTCTGGACACCCCTGTTAACCACAGGACTGTCTACTACGAACTGATGAATTTCATTCCATTTCTGTTATGCTACTCCTTAATAATAGCTTTTTGCTTTTATGATGTCCCAGTCACCCTCTATACTCACAATGCCTCTTGAGGTTGTGTCACCAAGCTACCTTATCCATGTACTTTTTTTTTTTTCTGAGATCTTTACTGAAAAAAATTGAAATAGAGGAGCTCTAAAACTGACCTTGAAAAGACTGTGCGTTTCATCAAGCATAAAACTCTTAACTTACTCTTTTTTTTTTTTTTGCCAGTCTTCCACATTTTAAGAGTTTTCATATTAATATCTGTCTTCCTCAGTTGAGTAAATAATTTCTCATGTATTACAATAGCACTGCAGTTCAGATAGTCTGCTCAACTGAAAGGTTGATCCTGGCCCCAAAAAAGCCACTTATCAAGGTGTCTAATGTGCTATTGTGGCATAATTTGGCAAAATGACAGAATCACAGAACATGCTGAGTTGGAAAGCATCCACAAGGACTATCGAGACCCACTGCTAGGCTTGCACAGCATCATCCCCAGGAGCCACGCCATGTGCCTGAGAGTATTATCCAAATGCTCCTTGAAGCCTCTGTTAGGCTTGGTGCTATGCCCACCACCCTGGTTCCAGTTCCCAACCACCCTCTGGCTGAAGGACCTTTTCCTAATATCCAACCTAAACCTCTCCTGACACAACTTCAGGCCATTCCCTTGGGTCCTGTCACCACAGTGTCTGCCCCTCCTCTGCCCCTCATGAGGAAGTTGTAGACAGCTTTGAGCTCTCTTCTCCAGCTGTGCAGACCAAGTGCCCTTAGCTGCTCCTCACACGGCCCCAAGGCCCTTCACCATCCTATGCCCACCACCCTGGTTCCAGTTCCCAACCACCCTCTGGCTGAAGGACCTTTTCCTAATATCCAACCTAAACCTCTCCTGACACAACTTCAGGCCATTCCCTTGGGTCCTGTCACCACAGTGTCTGCCCCTCCTCTGCCCCTCATGAGGAAGTTGTAGACAGCTTTGAGCTCTCTTCTCCAGCTGCGCAGACCAAGTGCCCTTAGCTGCTCCTCACACGGCCCCAAGGCCCTTCACCATCTCTTGCCCTCCTTTGGAGGTTCTCTAATAGTTTAACATCTCTTACCTTGCAGTGCCCACCTGCACACAATATTCCAGGCGAGGCCTCCCCCGTGCAGAGCAGAGCGGGACAATCCCTCCCTGGCCTGGTTGGACGTGCTGGGCCTGCTGCCCCCAGGACAGGGATGTCCCCCCTGGCTGCCAGGGCACTGCTGACTCAGATTCCCCTTTCTGCTGACCAGGACTCCCACGTCTCCTTCCACAGCTCTCCTTTCCACCATCTAATTTCCCAGTCTGTGCGTACATCCAGGATGCCCCATCCCAGGTGCAGAACTTGGCACTTTCCCTTGTTGAACTTCATCTGGTTGGTGACTGTCCTATCCTCTAATTTGTCCAGGTCTCTTTGCAAGGCCTCCCTGCCTTCCAGAGAGTCAACAGCTCCTCCCAGTTTTATATCAACAGCCAACTTGCTCAGTATCCCTTCCATTCCTGCATCCAAGTAATTTATGAAGATGCTGAAGAGCACAGGGCCTATCAGATTACTGACATGTTTTCAAATTATCATTTTCCTTTAAAATCTGCTTTGAATCCTTTATACTACTGCAAGCACTCTGCATTTTCCAAGGTCATTCCCTTCAGTCCTTCCTTCAATACCAATGAGTTTGTTAGTCCTCAGCCCCACAGCATTACCCCAGATCATCAAACAACCCTCCTCTCAGACTTGGTTCTCAAGTGCTCCCTCTACTCAAAGATAGAAATGAGCGGATTCCTTTTGGTCTTCTAGTAAATTGTAGTTTACTAGATATTCTGGGAGCAACTTTGCAAGAGAGGGGAGAGCAGAGCCATATTATGTGCTTGGACATTCAGAGAGGCCTTCCACAGTCATTCTGACATGCATACATGGACTGGTAGAAAGCGGTTAAGCCGAGCTGTGCTTTGTGAGAGCAGCTATGACACAGAAGCAAGAGCAAAAATACATTATTCACCTACTCAGGGCAGACC